TATGTCTCCCATATAACTCAAGGGAATCCTGCTTTTGTACCACTAAAGGGTGTGCCCTCTTTCACTGGCACCTACTAGACTCACGACACATTGCCCGCTACCAGGATTCTGGGCGAGCCCCAGATGTACTAGGAGTCTGGCACCTTGTGGACTTGTTCCTCTGCCACTTATCCTACTGAATGCCTCAGATCTTCATTCCAGATTCACTCGATTCGGACTTTAGGAGAACTCAGGACTAGGATTACCACTACCTGTCCCCATTCAAGTACTGTATATCAACTAAAGGTACTTACTTCATATTGCCGGATCACTTATACTGCCTGTCATGTCTCCAATTGATACAAGACTACCAATACAGTATTGGATATAAGATATATGTGGAATTTCTGAACTGAGTATATTATATGCTGTCTGAGGGCAATCACTACTACCCTTTAACAGGGATATATTATATACTGTACCAAGTGTACAATTACTGATGTGAGTGTCCGCTGGGTTTTCAAGGCACACCACCTGGGGTGAGCCCCCAGTTAATCATAGCATTTCCATATTGTGCCAAGTATATTATCTACTGATGTTGGTGTCCTCTGGGTTATCAAGGCACACCACCTGGGGTTAGCCCCCAGCTAAACACATACGGGTCCTGCTGATGCAGATCCTACTAGGATAAGTCCCCATAAAATAAAGGACTATCAGTGCTTGTTACATGCACTGTATACTGATCGTCTCATGAGGTAAAGCTCTGGTGTACGTGGTGAACCCCATTACCTACACCTGGAGGATCAGAAGATTTGCCTTAGACTTCTTCTAAGTATGTCAGAGAAACAGTATTGAAGGAAGGTCACCTCAAGGACACCCTCTGAGCTGCCTGGTGACCACGATGCCTGAAGATGGACTCTTCATAGTTGAGCAAGAAAGGTATCCCACTATTCAACCTTCGCACTATCCGACATCCAAGGTCATCAGAATGGAGCCTCCCAGATCATCTGGCTCGGTTTGTACATTACTGGCTCCGCAAACCCATGGAGAAAGAAGTTCGTGCACACCTCAGAGCCGAATGCCCAACACCACCATTGCCTGACAAAGTGGCCATTACACCGGAGTTTGACACCCCTGTAGTGGTCTTTAGGTCTCGGTCAGGCCAGGACCCACGGAAAGACATTTAAAAAGGGTCTTAAAGCCATGCAAGACAAACTGCTGGATCTCCTCGGCCCTACAGCAAAAATGCTTTTCTTTACTGACCTGGCTCTCACCCAGCTTAACCCTAACGCTCTCCAAGAATGGGCCAAACATTCAATCTGCCTGCTAGGCAATGCCAGTGCCGAATGTTGTGCCGAACGGTGCAAATCAGCACTGCTGAGAATTGACATGAAATTGCTGGAATTAAGATTAAAAAGGTCTGGCAAAAGGTCTTCTCTTCAGGGAACCTTTCATTGCCGAATTGGAAAAGCACGTCAACCTGTTTATGACCTAAAGTAAGGTGCAATCATCGCTTAAAGACTTTTTCATCGCCCCACCGAACAGGGGTGTTTTTTGGAGGGCTGGCCGGCAACGGAACCGAGCCACCAGCCGCTTCTGGGCTACAGCTGCTGGAGGTCAATAAAATTAAGGTCCCTCCTGAGTTGAGGGGGGTTAGGCTGAGGTTGTTGGGTACTCGAGAGCAAATGACAAGAGGTGGTGGTCAGAGAGAGCAAATGGAGTGTTGCGGATATTAGATACTGTACATGCATTAGATAAGACGAGGTCGAGGGTATTGTCAGCTACATGGGTGGGAGAATTAGCCCACTGTGATAGCCTGAGGGAGGAAGTAATTAAAAGTAGTTTAGAGGCTGCTGAGGTCAAAGGTGGGTTAATGGCAAAATTGAAGTCTCCGAGAATTAGAGAGGAATATTAGAAGAGAGGAAATAGGGTAGCCAGGCAGCAAAGTGGTCAAGGAAGTGGAGAGGGGAACCAGGGGGGTGATAACTAATGGAAATGTTAGCAGAGAAGGGTTTGAAAAGGCAAAACGAGTGAATTTTGAATGATGGGGAAGGGGGGTGGGTAGAGGTTTGAAGGAGTAGTGGGGTGAGAGGAGAAACCCTACATCATCACCTTTACATTCAGAGTATCTTGGGTTGTAGGTAAGATGAAGACCACCAAAGGATAAAGATGCAAGGGTAGCAGTGTCAGAGGGGGGGGGAGCCATGTTTCTGTTAAGGCTAGTAAACCTAGGGAATGAGAGATGAAGAGGTCGTGGACAGCAGTGGATTTTGTAATATTGCAAACAGAGCGTGCATTCCAGAGGGCAGCATTGAAGGAGGATTTAGAGGAAGAGTAACATGAGATGTGTATGAGATTGGTGTGGTTCTTTGAGTTAGTGCGTGGTGAGTTTGCCGAGATGGGACCGGGGTTTGGAGAAACATCGCCAGCTGCTAGGAGCAGAAGGATAGAAAAGAAGTGAAGGTGGCAGTAGGATTTGAAAGTTTTGTAGGAGCGTATGTATATAGAGGATTTGGGAGGAGTTAGGAGAGATAGGCTGGAAAGGTATATGTAGAGTGCATGGGATGAATAGAGAGGGGAGGGGAGTAAAGTGAAAGTAATGAAGATGGTGTTGCCAGCCTATGATACCTCTGCTTTAAAGATTCTGCAGGGCTTGGTTGCTTGTGAGTACTGGGTGTAGTTATTCAATGCTGTTCATGAGGTGTATATATACTGGTGTATTGACACTCATTTTAATAAACAGTGTTATAATTGGGATGTTATATCACTTTAATTATGAGTACCTTTTTATTGCTGTATGGAGTTCTCAGCTTTTATATTAGTCAGTTAAGTATATTGTGTTTGCTCTTTTTGTATTTGTTGATGTCATTAGAATGTATTTTGCTGTTCTGCAAATAATTTGCTGTTAACATTAAAGCATACATTTGTATTATAATAAAGTTGATCACTAGTATTTATTAAACAGGTTGCTATAAGAAGGTTATCACTGTATGAAGTTGTATTTAAAATTCCTTATGTTGAAGAGTATATTTTTTTTTGTTCTTTACTATGCTGTTTCTTCTGACAACAATGCCCCCAGAAATGTTTCAAGATTGCTAAAAATCCATACTCTTTAAAATAAGTATGTAAATAACTGGGGGCATGTAAATACATTTTTTGTTGGTGCATTAACCCCTTAAGGACGCAGCTTCAGAAGCTGGACATACCCTTAAGGACTCAAGCTATTTTTGCATTTTTTGCTGTTTGTGTTCAACTGCAATTTGCATCGCTCTCATTTATTTAATCAACACATATTATATATCGTTTTTTAAAGGACAAGATGGGCTTTACTTTGATGTGACTTACACATATATAAAATCTAATTTATTATTAAAAAACATTAAAAAAAGAAAAAAAAAGAAAAAAAATATATATTTTTCACAGTTTTGGCAATAATAGTGTGTGTATAATATGTCCAGCTTAGGAAAAGTAATTCAAAATAAATTCATTTAGGTTTCTTGTTTTTTCAAAGTGCATAATATGTAAAGGATTTCAGCTTATTTTAAAAGTTACAGGTCACAAAATACAAGGAGTAATATAAAATTTTAATGTGAACAAAATTGCTACACAAAAGTATATATTTAAATAAAGAAGACATCACAGGCTATTTATTTAAGGGTATTTTGACACTTTTTACATAGCCTTTTTCCCACCAATCTCTGCTACATATTGTAGTAAAATTGTGTTTTTTCTGTTTTTTGAAATACACACATGTAACAAGGTTTTTTAAATGTGTATTTTGTAAAGCTGCTGTGTGCTATTCCTGGTCAAAATCCCATTTTGTGTTCAGCAACATCTGCTGAGTACAACAATACCCCCATTGTATGTCTTTGCCACTATTTTGGGAAGCTACAATGAAATATAAGAGGCCAGACTATTTCAGTTTCTACAGTTAGAAAATTCAAAGATGGATTTAATGGACCTATGTCTTATTTTGGGGCATTATAGTAGTTTGGTTGTTCAAATGACCACACAAAGGCCTTCCATTCGTGAAAGTAGACACTCCATGGTATCTTATATGGCATATATTTTGCCTTAACGGTTCACCATTTATTCACCATTATATGTCAAAATTTGTGTTAAAAAATATTTTCCGCATTTTTTCCTTAAGCATTACATTTGTGCTGGGCATTTTGTATATTTGATATGTTCCACTATGGTCAAACACCCCTAATTATGCTCAGCTTAATCTTCTGAGTAAAACAATACCCCCAATGTATGTCTTTGACACTATTTGGTGACGCTACAGTGCCATAAAGGAGACCTGACCATTTCAGTTTTTAGAGTAGAATTTTGAGAGACGGATTTGCAGGGCTTATGTTTCAGTTTGGGCCATCATAGCAGTTTGACTGTTTCAAAAACCGCAAAAAGGCCTACCATTTGTGAAAGTAGACACTCCAGGGTATCTCATATGGCATATATTGTGCCTTAATATGTCGCCATTTTTTCGCCATTATATGTCAAAGTTTGTGGTAAAAAAATATTTTCACATTTTTTCCTTAAGCATTACATTTGTGCTGGGCATTTTGTATATTTGATATGTTCCACTATGATCAAACACCCCTAATTATGCTCAGCTAAGTCTTCTGAGTAAAACAATACCCCCAATGTATGTCTTTGACACTATTTGGTGATGCTACAGTGCCATAAAGGAGACCTGACCATTTCAGTTTTTAGAGTAGAATTTTGAGAGACGGATTTGCAGGGTTTATGTTTCAATTTGGGCCATTATAGCAGTTTGACTGTTTCAAAAACCGCAAAAAGGCCTACCATTTGTGAAAGTAGACATTCCAGAGTATCTCACATGGCATATATTGTGCCTTAACATGTCGCCATTTTTTCACCATGATATGTCAAAGGTTGTGGTAAAAAAATATTTTTTGCATTTTTAACTTATGCGTTACATTTGTGCTGGGCATTTTGTATATTTGATATGTTCCACTATGATCAAACACCCCTAATTATGCTGAGATATCTCCTGTGAGAAAAACGATACCCCCAATGTATGCCTTTAGTCGTATTTCCTGATGCTACACTTCCATATAGGAGACCTGACCATTTCAGTTTTTACAGAATTTTATAGGTTTATGACTCATTTTGGGTTCTAATAGCAGGTTGCTTATTCAAACTTTCCCCACAAAGGCCTACCATTTTTTAAAGAAGACACCCCAGGGTATTTCAAAAGGCCCATTTTGAACCTTAGGGTGGGATCATTTTTTCGCTAGTGAGTACCAAGTCTAGTAGTAGTAAGCATTTTCTCTGCCTTTTTGAAACATACTTTGAGATTTTACTGCATAGTTTACAATCCTTAGGTGTGCTACGGCAGTATAACGCTTCATATGTCACTCAGCTATGTCGTCTGAGTACAGCAATACCCCTGTGTGTACCTTTCTCAGGTATATGTGGATGTTGAAGGGGCAAATTTGAGACTCTGCCATTTCAGGTTTGTTTCAAACTTTGAATTTGCATGCTGGGTCCATGTCCCATTTTGGGTCAAACTCTGAGGTACTGTCTGTCACCTCTGAATCCGCTGTCAGAATTCTCTAACTGTACTTCCAAAGCATTTTAAACTTTTTACACAAGAACTTTAACAAAACAATGTTATTTTATTTTTTTGTTGTTTTTTTTTATTTGTATTTCCACCCCTAGCATACGCACTAAACTCCCCAATTTCCCAGGAACTATCATCCACCCCAATTAACTAAATAAAAGGTAAAAAAAAAAATTGTATTGAGAATTTATTGGCTCTGAGTATGAAATAATTTAAAACAGTTCCCAATACAAAGGCCAGGCTGAGAGGGACAATCAGGGCAGTAGAAACTGGTCTCTGTTCGAATGCCTCTCTGGTAACACAGCCTGCACCTTTTCTGGGGGGTCTTTTTTTGGGGGGTTGGTGGTATCCGAAAGCAGAAGTGACCTGTCTGAATATCTCTGCTGCTAGGCCCTGCTGATGGCTCCCCACTGTGGCACTCAGTGAGCAGCACAGAAATGAGCTGAAACTGAAATGTAAGAAAAGTACATTTCAGCTGAGGATTTGCCTTTTTGAAAAGGATGAATGCATTGTGAGTAGCCATTTGCATTAAATAAATGCCCACTTTCTTATACCAGGCCCTGGTCTTTCTCATTATCAGATATGGCTGCAGCAGTTGATCAGACAGGTCAACTCCCCCATGTGTTTATTGTATTGCTTAATGCAGACAGGCAGCCGTCTTGTTTCCTGTCTGCCACGAACTGCGACCCTGCGTGTGTGTTCACTGTGCATGGTAGTCAGTATGAACACCTCCTTTTTGTCTCTGTATTTCAGAGCCAGCAGTTCGTCCTGGCATAGAGCAGCCGTTTCCCCCTTTTTAAATTTTTTTCTCTGCCAGAGCCTTGGGGAAGCCAGTGCGTGTCTTGCGGATAGTGCCGCAGACCACAGTCTCAAAACAATATAGCATTTTTTGGAGGGGTATGCTATTGTAGTAATTATCAAGGTAGAGGTGGTACCCCTTGTTCAGTAGCGGGTTCATTAGATCCCAAACTATTTTTCCGCTAGTCCCAACTACATCAGGGCAACCTGGGGGATCCCGGTGGCTATCTTTACCTTCATATATTCTGAAGGTATAAACATACCCACTGCTACTTTCACATAACTTGTATAGCTTGATGCCATACCGGGATCTTTTGGCTGGGATGTATTGCTTAAACCCCAGTCTACCCTTGTATTTCATTAGGGACTCGTCAATACATATATTCTTTTGGGGAGTATAAATTATGCCAAATTCTTTATTAAAATGGTTAATTAGGGGGCGGATTTTATAGAGTTTGTCATACTGCGGATGATCTTTGGGGTGGCACTTCGAATTATCATTGAAGTGCAGAAAACGCAGTACTGTTTCGTATCTGGGCCTACTCATGGTCTGAGAGAAAATGGGAGTATTGCATACTGGGTCGCAGTGAACAGAGGGATGTCGGGGACAAAATTGTTAGGGGGCACCCAGATATCAGCGCCAGGAGCAGTGCCAGGGGTATCGTCACTTTCTTCATCTGTGTCTGGCACATAGTCACCCTCTGCACTCTCTGAGGCAGTGTCGGTTGCCTCTGAGTCGGCTGCTAATATATTATATGCCTCCTCGGCACTAAACTTTCTAAGCATGGTGAAAGCTTAAAATTAACTTTAACTAAATAACGTATTTTTTTGTTTTGTTTTTTTCTGAATTTTTTTAATACTTTTTTTAAATTTTTTTAAAACTCTTAAAAACTTTCTAAAACTTCTAAAAACTTTTTTAAAAATGAACCCCTGTGGGTAAAAACAGGAATCAGATCACCGTGCTTACACCTAGCGAAGCAGAAATGCTTTGACTTAAAATAAACTACTTTTTTTTTCTCTTTTTTTCCTTTTTTCACTTTTTTTTATACTTTTATAAACTTTTAATAACTTTTATAAACTTTTAATAACTTTCTAAAACTTTTCAGCTTCCTAGCTACACTAATGCTAGATTCCCCAATTCCCCCTAGCTTCAATCCACCCCAGCTAACTAATTAACTGAAAATAAAAGTAAAAAAAAAAAATTAAATATATTTAACCCCTGAGGGTTAAAAAGAAAATAAAGTTAACCCCTGAGGGTTAAAAAAAAACTCTGATCTCAGTAAAGTACTGTGATCAGTATTGTGATCACTGCTGCCAGTGATCAAAGGGTTAAACTTTTAAAGTTAAAGGGGGTAAAAGGTTTTTTTTAAACTTTTAAACACTTTGTGTCTGTCAGGGACACAAAGTTTCAAACGATCCGTCTCTCTCCACTTCTAATCACACACAGAGGTGGAGGGAGGATAATCAGAATTCCCAGCAGCACTGTGATCGCTGTGACTGGCTGTCACAGCGATCACATGTGCTGGGACAGCACTATTGGCTGTTGCTGGGCTTCCTCAAACGCCGAGGCACCCAGCAACAGCGTTAACCCCACGGTCGATGGCGATCCCACACGATGATCGCGGTATGGGGACTCACCTGGGAGCCCAGGGAGTCCTCCTCCTTCCTCTTCGACCCCCCCTGGGCCATGTGATCGCGAGGTCCTTGCAAGGACCTCACGATCACATAGACGGCATAGCCGTTCAAGGCTTTGCCAGCAGGGGGAGTGACTGTAATGACAAGTACTCCCCCTGCTGTCTGGAAAAAAATTTTTTTAAGTTTAAAACAGTGTAAAATAACATTATATATACTTAGATCATATATATATATATTTATTATATATATGATCTAAGTATATATATACACACATATACACACATACACATATATACACATACACTGTCTACGTGTATTTTAATATATATATATATATATATAATTATAAATATATATTAATATCAAAATACACGTACAATGATATTGATTAAATATATATATAATTTTTATTATATATATTTATATATAATATAAAATAAATAAATCTGTAAAAACGTTAAAAAAATTTATTAAAATTTAAAATTTAATACAAAATAAATAAATATATATATATATATAGATATAAATATGTAAATTCGTTATAACTGTATTTTAAAATTAATATATATTTATATCAAAATATATATATATATACATAAGTATATACGTGTATATCACTATATATATATACCTATATATAAATAAAAATAATTTAAAAAAATTATATACATATATATATATATATATATATACATACACACACACATATTTATATACACACATATATATAATAATTCTAAGTATATATTTATGTAACAGAAAGAGAAGAAGAAAACCGTCTACAGGCAATGGTAGGTTAAACTACTCAACCTGTAGAGGGTCACACCTTATAAGACACTCCAGTTGTGTCTTGGGGCATAACCCCTAATTAGAAAGACTATAGGATACTCAAAATAGCAAGTACATGAGTATCCACTGGAATAATGAATAATGATAATGCTATCAAAAATAATAAATAGAGATATATACAGTGAGGAAATACAATAAAGGATACTATAGATTGGTCAGGTGGAGGTAGAAAATAACTGCCAAAATGGCAAAAAAAACTCCCTTCCTAATGTCTCCTGACTGTTAATTGTCAATTAGTATGGCAAAAAGTAAGAGGTCTGATGAACAAAAGACAGCAGAAATGTGTGAAGCCATGGAGTCTAAGAAATGTCCCATGGGGTGAAGTTTCACACGTTGGCAGAGAGACCCCACTCCTGATTTCAAATGGATAATGTATTTTACATATGTTTTTTCTGTGATCAGACACATAGCATATTCGTATACGAGCAAATTAACCCTTCCAGAGCTGCAATCCATCCTATCACCTCTACCAAGTGATCATTCCTATTATTACTGTGCACATTATTAATATTCCTACGATGCAACACTGGATTATGGTTTCTGAGAATGACGTTAGTAAATAAACTTGAGGTGATTACATTTGTGCAGCAATAGTTATTATATCACCCAGAGTTATATGTACAGTGTTCTGTTTAGAATCTGAGCTACCTTCTCTTTTAACACTAAAATCCTCATTCTACTTTTGTTTGCCAACTATTTTCTATGCTGACCTGATCTATACGTTTTTCGTTTTATATGATGTCACTTTCACCATGTTTAACTCTGTAATTGTGAGATTGAATAAAATTAAAATAAATTTTAAAAAAACTTACAAAGTGAGAGCTCATGGTTCATAAATACACAGCTTAGAGGAGAGAGGGGAGAGAGGGGATATTAATAAAGTTAAGGCTCTCACGGATTAGGGAACAGTTTTACGACGCCAACTAAAAATTAACAGGCTTATAGAAAAGGGGAGTGATCCATTAAGTAGATTTCCAAATTTTACAATAGAAATGGTAACAAAAAAACTGCAAGGGTTATTTACTAAAGTGATAATTGTTTGAAATTCAAAGTGAATGTCAAATTCCAGGCTAAAGTAACTGAACTGGAAAAAAAATCTCCAAATCAGTTATGCTTCCAGTTTGGCTACTTTGGTCTTAAATTTTTTGCTCACCTAAATTTCCTAACAATTCTCTTTTTATTAAATAACCTGTTAAATGGGAATTTAAAAAAATGTCTGGAATACACATATACAAGTATATCCTGTAAACTAATTAGTTTTCACATGACTTACTGGCAGACTTGATGAGCCTTCTGGCTTAATCTGCCACAAACCAAACTCCCTCCCTCTTTCTCTCTCTCTCTCTCTATCTCTCCACATGCACATTGAAAATGTATTCTTGAAGTATACACAGAAGACAGTAAAGTTTAAATGTTCATCAATTACT